ATAAAGATGTAAATGCAAACTTAGTTGGGTTTTTTTCTTCTTTTTTCTTTCTTTTTTTTGGGGGGGCTAGGTAGAGAGGAGAAGGGAAGGTTGAAAAACAATGGCTCAGTTTAGCCAGGTACAGTTCTTGCATCCTCAAGAGAAGGGCACATCTATTCCCAGCATCAGAGTGGGTTACAAAGAAGATATGAACAGGGATATGGAAGGAAATATTTGACAGCTGCCCAACTACTTCTCAGCCAGGTCTTCAAAGCTTCATTATTAGCTTAGAAGTGAATCTGTAACTCACAAAAACCCCAAATGGAAGTATGATTAAAAAAAAAAGCCCCATACCACAATCTAACCCAATATACAATGCCTTATGATTAGCTCCATGTAGCATTAGGCACACCTGTGATACTTCATGAGTATCAATAATCAAGAGTTGACCATTAATAGATATGGTGATTGATAAAAACACAAGGGGTATCAAAAAGGGGATCCTCCTTGGTAAGAAACAGACATCCTTGTAGGGATGGTTTTCAGGGAACATACTCCCTTCACTGTCATTTTTTGAGTCACGTTTCTCTTGATAACATTCTGTTCTAAATTTGGGTTCAGTAAAATGAAGGTCTGAGGAATTCCTTTAAGTGAGTTTTCTGATCCCCTTCCTTTTTTCGTACATAGCCACAAATCTTGTGAAGTGGATTTAAGCTTCAGCAAAGCAGGGAAGCTGCTGTCCCAGGGGCCAGCCACAGTTTCTAGCAGGTTTTCAACTGTTACCTCCCAAGGGAAGACAAGAAAACAACTAAAAGATTGAAGCAAGGAGAGGTGGAGGTTTCCAGATATAAACTTTAGTACGGTTAACACACTGAAGGGACTCAGGGCTCCACCCCAGGAAAGGGGAATAAAAAGGGAAAAGTAAGAAGTGGTAGAATGGTAATACTGCAGTAAGAAGAATGAGGGAAGGAGTTTCTCTAATATAGCGCAATAGAGACCCATTCACCCTGACAATCATCTGTTGAAATAATTTCGTCATCTGAAAAGCTTCATCCCATACTGAAGGCAAAAAATTCTCCCCAAACATCCCTTGTGTAAACTAAGAACTTGCATATGAAATAAACAGTAAAGTTTTGCTTTTGTTTTTTTAATTTTTAAGTCGACCACAGCTATCTGTAGTCTCTTATTGGAAAAACACTGTTTCTGTGTAAATTGGTAGACTTGCATCTACTTTGTGTTCTCATACTTTAAAAGGGACTCTTCTGAACTCCCTTTGGTGAAGATAAGGCTTTAAATGACCTACCTAAGAGAACTATTTTTTTTCTTTTTAAGTGAGTCACAACACATAAGTGCTTTACAAATTAATAATTTCAGTGCACTCACAGCAATAAAAAGCAACAGTGCATGTATCATCCAAAACACTCAAGCTGATTTGTCTTTCATTTCCCACCATCTTCCAGGAATTAAGATTTTCTGCAGAAGCCAAGTGAAAAGTCAGTGATTACACCTATTTTTCCTTTTTCCCTCTTTCCCTTTCTGTGCCCTCCCCCCAAAAATTCTACTTCCTCTTTTTGCCAAGTTTACTTTGACACACAGAATCCTTCATAATTCAAATGAAGATAACAGTTATATTAATCTTTTAACTTCATTTATAAATCATAACCAGTATAAACAATATCAAACACTTAACTCACATTAGCAAATCTAGGTTACAATGTCAAAAGATAATATTATTTTTGCATGGATTCAAAAGACTGTGAACTATTAAATTTAAGATGGATGTATAACTTTTAGTATGATCCATTACTTTCATTCACAGGTCTAAGTTTATACCTAAGTATAAACATCTAGATATTCTAGCTACATAAAACTGGAGAGCTAAAAAGGAACTTTGATCTAATTCAACACAGCCAAAAAAGGCAAAAAACTGAGGTCCAGAGTGCGAAAAGTGACTTGCCCAAAATAAAAATAAGAGTGTCAAAGCCAGTGAAACAAGCTTTCAAAGCAATCACTTCAAACTGTCCTTTATATATCTTCCTTCAAGTTTTAAGATTATATATATATATATTGCAAGTTGTCACCCTCTTTGGAATTAACCTGACTTAGCATATTAACACATTTAAAATTATGCTGAGAACATAAACAGAAAGAACAAAACAAAACAAAATCAAAACTGACTGCTGAGTAATTGCAATGACGAAACTGGAGGCTGCCCAAAAAAAGATATAGGAATGCACCTGCTTCCTTTCTTTGCTAAGGTGAGACACTATGGGTACAGAACACTACCTATACTGTAACACTTAACTGATATATTGGTTAGTTTTGCTAGATTTCATCATCTTTCTCTTTTTATTACTCATTGTTATATGGGGTGGCTCTCTGGGTGAGACATAGCAGGAAATCAAAGTGATGTAAAAACAAAAAATTGCAATACAAAATTTGCAAAATAAAAAGCAATAGCAACCTAACTTAATATTATGTCATTATATATATCATGTCTTGACATTTGGAGATTGGTCCTAACAGTTTTATCAGTAAAAATGATCAATAATCAGTGGAAAGGTTGTGGCAAACTGATTTTTCTTACTGTACTTACACTCCTTAGTCTAATGTGAGACGGCAGTTCTCAGGAGAGGAGTTGCCGCTCCATCTGTCCTCCAACATGCTTCAATCAGAAAAGAAAAACTGAGGCTATTTGAAGGAAGCCATCTTTAAGCTTTCCTTTTCAAGAATTTGGAATACTAGTAACCTCACATTAAATCAAAACACTTTCCCAAGCAGTTTAAGTTGTAATTACTTCCCAATTACTGTTAATAAAGTGATGAAAAATGAGATTTTGGTGAAAATAACTCTCTCTCTGAAGGAAATACATGTCAAGAAACCCCACTAAGGATAACAAAAACTGTACTGGAGGTAGGCTGAGGGGAGAGAAAGGGAAAAAAAACCAGAATAAAGCAAGTATAGGTGAAAAGGACCTTAGAGAACATCTAGCCATTAAGAAACTGAAGTCCAGAGAGATTAAAATGGTTAAAGTGATTGCCCAAGGTCATCCAGGTAATAACAGCAGCGCTAGTACTCTCTAGACCAGAGCTAAGATTCTCAAGATTCCCAGTCTACTCGATTTTTCCATTAAGTCTTTCTCCTATCACAGACATTTTCCCTATTACACTGTAAGTAAAAGTTTTAAAAGTCAATACTGTTTCCAAATGAATGAGGAAGTCATTGAACCCAAGAGAAAGCTGCTTAAAATTCATAAATAATATTTAAAATTCTAGCTTTTAGATAGCATGACATGAAATCTTTCCTTAAAGATGAATATGCAGTTTTTAAAAATGTAACAGTTTTTACAAGATGCAAATCACATTGCTAGAACAAGTTTTGAAAGTCTTCTGCTAAATCCCTTAGACATACATATATTCCCTATATATGAACATAATCCTTACATATATTCATATTGCTTAAATATATATATATATATATATATATATATATATATATGCAAATTCCTTAAATATATATTGAGGCAGCACCAAAACTTCAAGTCAAAAAACTGAGTTCAAAGTACAGACTGCCATACTACTCCAGTGACCTTGGACAAAACCTCACCTGTAAAATCAGTAAATTTGACTAGGTGACCTTTAAAGTCCCTTCCAGCTCTACATCTTTGTACTTATGTTTCAACAAATTATAACAGAAAGTTCAGGTCTACACAATAATCAACACCAAATACAACCAAAGATTGAAATAGTCATGTAATACATCTGATAAGTTATTCTAAAACACTGATCCATTTATATAATGGAGAGTCAATAACTAGTGGCACAGTCAGTTCCTACACCATAAAGCTGGCAGTATTTTCAGTCATGTTTCTGAAATTATTCAAAATACATGCTTAAATTTATATGAAGTACTGATTTATCCTCATGACGATTTAAAATTGGGAAGCATCATCTATATTTTTTTAAAAGTTTCATTATTTAGGGGAAAGTGGGCACAAAGGGCTGGGAAATTCCCCATGGGGAGGGCAGAGATTGGAAGGCTTTTTAATTCAAACTAAAGCCTTTAAATAAAGTCGCAAAATAAAAGATATTCTACAGCAAGAGAAACTCAAGAAGCACCTGAAGTCCATAAGTACTATATCTGCCTGAAATTCGCACTTTAATGCCCCAAGGAACAGGTTAATTCTTTACAATTCAGCTTCTGGGCTTCTGAGCCTAAAACAGAATCCTCTGTACATTCTTGCACAGCAGAGCGTAGTTTATATGGGAGATGCATTTTTCAAATAAATGACTTTATTACTCACTAGTAGCCAAGAGATAGCATGCTATAGTGGAAAGAGTAGTGTAGACAGGAAAGACAAGAGTTCAAATCCTACCTCCGATTACCACTAGCAGGACACACAAGTCACATGAAAATAAGGCAGTTTCTTCATGCATAAAATGAGATTAAGAACAAGCCAGATACCTAACTTACAGGACAGTGGTGATGATCAGATGAAATAATGTATGTAAACTGTTCTGCAAACCTTAAAACGTTTTTAAAACATCAGTTATTATTTTTGTTATGACTACTACTACAACTAACGTTTACAAAACGGAAAAACAGAGAATTCAATCTTCTCCCCCCTCCTTTTTTTTTTGCTGGGGAGGGCGGGAACATACGGTGAAAACCAAACAATAGAATTCTGTAATTATGGTTAGTGAAAGATTTAAGAATTCTAAGAAAGAAGGATTTTTTCTGGTTGAACACCAACATTCAAATTCTGATTGCCTTCAAGATATAAACTCAAAAGTCCTTAAAAAAGACAACTTCTTAGTACCTAAAACACCTTTAAAATAAGATGATCCTCTAAATGTTAATTCTTACAACTGCGGACTTCAAAGCGAAATAATCACGAATTTAGCCACAGATTGAGAAGTCTTTTGCTTAAAACATACCCATCCCAAAGGTTCCATTCCCCACCCCACCCCCATCCTTATTTTCTCTTTAGAAGATGCAAAGCCTAATGCAAATATCCTTACCCCATTTTGCCCAGTGAAAACTTCCACCGAAGTTGCTCTACGGAAGAATTTCCCAAGGAGTCTTTTCAGTGGCTTTACTGCTGTTGGTTCCCCCACGTGATCCGCGCGTGTCTGGAGGTATTTCAAGGATGCCGAGACAATTCGGCTCGTTTCCTCAGGTAAATGAATCTCTCGCGTGGAGATCCCAAAATGTTCAAAGCAAAGGAGGTGGCATCTGCTGGAGAGAGTTAAAATGCCGCGCTGGGGAGCAGCGGAGTCCAATTCTCATTCCACAGTGTGAGTCCGCGTGGGTTTGATGCACAATCCAGGTTCATGGAGTCCTATAAGAAAGGAGTCCGGCGGCCGCTGCTCGCATGTCCTTTTGCACAAGAATGCAGTCCCCGCGCCAGGAGCGAGAAGGATGCTCGTCGTCTTTTTCCGAGCTGCAGGGAGAGCGGGCGGCGCGTTCAAATCTCCCTGGCACCCCTGCAGGTCTACCGGGTAGGGTGCGCGGCACAATGGGGCATGCAATTTTAAAATTGATAAAAAATGGAAATCAAAACCCTAAAATGGGGAGGAAATGCAACTATTTCTGTCCCCTTGCAAATAGAAAAAGATTTTTTTTAATAGAAAAATCTCAAAGCGCAAACCCAGCAACTCCCAAACGTGCACGATACTCCACGGAGGCGAAATCTTTTCCTTCCCCCTCCTCTAGGACTCTGAGCATAGAGGAGGTGGGGAACAGGAAGAGAAGGCTGGGGAGGATCGATTCATTCTCCTGAAGAGAAGAAATGAAGCCATTTCAAGGCTGGCAGCAGGAGGGGAGAGCAGCAGCACATCTCGGGGGAGGCCGAGAGATAAGGGGGAGAAGGGCCCCAAAAATCTCACCTCCCTCTCTCCTTATTCGGCTGAACACAATGGAGCCTTGCCTGCGCTGGTCCTTTCATTCACTGCTTTTATTTTTTTAATTAAAAGATATATTCATATTCTTATTCTCTCTCTTTTCCCCTTTTTCGCTCTCCCTTTCTCTCTCCCTCTTTTAAAGCCAGAGACTTCGAACCTCCCAGACAGCAGAGAATGAATGAATCAGAGAGAGCCGAGCCCCCCACTTCTCCCCTGCACCGAGCCCCCAAAAGCACAGTGCGGACTGAAGGCAGCAGGAAGGGAGGGAGGGAAGGAGGGATTGTGGGGGTCAGAGGGGAGGGGATATTAGTATCAATTGGCTGCACGGGCCCCTCGGAGGATGCAATCTGTTCTGCCCACCCGCGGGGGCCCGGGAAATGTGGCTCCGGGGTGCTCGCTGGTAAGCTGCAGCCGAGGGAGCCAGTTCACATGCCTGGCCAGTCCTCCTCCTTCTCCCCTGCCTCACACCTCCATCCTCACCCGCCCCCGCCTCGATCTCTCCTCTCTCTCCCGCGCTCAGAAGAGCGGCACCAGCCCCGGCCGGCCCTGCTCGCTGTTGCTGTTGCTGCCGCCTCCTCGGCTGCCGGGCTCCCGGGCAAGCAGGCGGGGAAGCTGCTTACCCCACCGCTGGCTACCGCCTGGGAAAAGGAGGAGGAGAAGGAGGAGGAGGAAAAGGAGGAGGGAGGGAGAATGGCAGGCAGAGCAGGCAGGATGCGGGAGGAGGGAGGAGGAGGAGGAGTGGTGGAGTGGGGGGAAGGGAGGGTGGGAGCGCTCGTCTCTCGGTCCCTCCCACTAGCAGCAGAGGAGGCAGACACAAGCAGCGGCCCGAAGGACCAGCCGCTAACCTGGCCCCGGGAGAGGAGGACCAGGGAAGGAGACGGAGCCGGCAGCAATGGGGAGCGTAGGGGTGATGCCGCTGCCGCTGCTGCTGGTGCCGGCGGAGCTCAAGAGCTAAGCCGGCCCTGGCGGGGAGAGGTCACTGGGTCCTACCCCCTGCCTCCCTTATACGCCCCCGGTTGGCCAACCGCACGGGCTGCTTCTCCAGCAGCTCCTTGCCCCAGCCCCTGCTGCTGCCGCCGCCGCCACCGCCGCCGCCGCAGCCTCTTCCAGTGCCCACACCAGGCGCGCTCGCTGTGTCTCCATCCTCCCCTCCGGAGGACCTTTAAATAGCAACGTCACCGCGTTCCCCTCCGCACTCACGTCACCCGCCGCTCACGTCACCAAGGTGCGGGGGATGATGTCACACAGCCGGAAGTACTGCTAAATTAGGGAAGAGTGGGGGAGAGTAGAATGCGCTGCCAGGTTCTCTGTGCCCACCTGCTCTAGCATCTCTTTAAAGGCCAAAGTACAGGAGAGACAGCCCAAGAGGGGATCGGAGAAGGAAGTGGCGGGAGGGAGGGATTTTCTAGCAAGGAATAAGCCAGATACTAGTGAATCATTCATAGCAACCGCGCCCGAAGTGTCAAGCAGGTGATTTCCTATAGCCCACTCACTGCTGCTGCTGTTAGCAGTATCCTTGGGCTCCTTGTGTCCCAGCCAGCGATGGCGTGTGGGAGGGAAAGCCCTTGTTCTTACTGGTCTCTAATAATGATTTATACAGCATCTTAAGTCGATAATATTTTCAGGAAATCATAATTTTAAAAGTATGTATTAAATACCCTGTGGGCATGACATGCTACAAAAGTTTTATATTAATGAAAAACAAGTTCTTGATTTCTTGAAGATTACTTACCAGCAAAGTTTGTAGAAAAGGAAGAGGCTAAGTCTAAGTCCAAGTTTTTGTGAATTGTGATAATTAAACTCAATAGCTAAGAAAATGGAGCCATTTTTTTTAAATTTGTAAAACCTTGTCATAGTGCTCCTAATAGTTTGAGTCAGACCTAATCACAAAAAATATCACCACTAGAGATAATTTTCATTTAATGATTTCTATAAAGTGCCATTAAGTATGAGGCATGCCTTTGTCATACTCTCATTTTCTGGGTTTTTACTGAAAATACCACCAAGTGTTATCATTTATGCTAATTATAGAGGCAGGCTAGGATCGGCAGCCAAAAGAAATTTAAAATCAAAACATTTCCATTTCTCCTAGCCTCTTTGGATATGAACAGAAAGCTACATTACAATATTTCTTCTATACTTTGTAAGATGGATGATTTAACTCATATGAACATGCAGTCAACAAGAATTATTAAGTGCCTATTATGTGCTAGGCAGTGTGCTGAGTGCTGGAGGATACAAATGTAGCAGTGACTACCCTGATCAGCACTGCCTGAAGACCAGATATGTTACTTTGCACCTCTCTCCCAGGGTTCTCCAGTACGCTTAAGGGAGTTATGGGTATCTAGTGTCCTTGTCATTGGCTCCAGCCCAGAACAATGGGGTTTCTTCAGTTTTAGGGGTCCCCTACAACCTAATTCCATTTAACCACCTAACAGCCAGATTAACTTTTACAAAGGAATATTTATTTCAAAGTTGTAGCAAAGAACAAATGTGCAAACATTTTCCCCAACATGGAATAATGCCCCCACACACACATACACACACTCCAACCCAGGCCAGATTCTGGTAGGCAAGGAGGATGAGGTTCACAATTCAGCTCAGTTCCTACATATCTTGAGCCCACCCTGTGCTCAAATCCCACCACCTTCAGTTCTAGGGGCTTCCCTGATGGACTGGCAACATCATCCCAACTGGAATCCTGTTTCTAAGGGAGTTGACCCCTCCAGGACCTAGAGATTCCACTATCTGTACCTAGAGCAGAAAAGAGCAAAAGAAAAAGACCCAAAGCCCAAGCCCAGGATCACAGGGCCTAAAAGGGGCAAGGACAAGGACTATCTCTCTCAATAGTTCAGTTCATGATGCCTGTCTTGTGAGTGAACAGTTCTTTCACCCCCTCTGGACACAAGTAGAAAGAGAGAAATTGAGAATGTTCTGGTAATTTTAAAGATGCAGCCTGTCCCAGCTATATAGGCAATGGAAAAAGGCTACTCCCACCCACATGGTAGAAGAATACAGAATGTCTTCTCTCAGAAGCAGGTCTTCAGCATCTCCCACACGTTAGGTTCTCTGGGCATATGCAAATCAAAGCTCCTTTACACAAGGAGAAGCAAAAACCAGTCTCTGTTCCCAAGGAGTTCAGAGTCTCCTACATCATAGAAGATTGTACTTCTTCCAAATCTGAGGGACGGGTCTTCATGAATAACTCTGGACAGAAAAATTCTTTAGCTGATAGCCAAACTAGTGGACATGGGCCTCTTTGAAATTAGGCTGGTTCTGAAATGGCGGACACATAATCTGTTGCTTGGCTGGAATTCAAAGCCTTTCTAGCTTGGGAAGACCTACCAGAGCTTATGCTCTACCAACATAACCTTTGATGACCCAGAGTCATGGGATCACATATTTTGAGCTGGTAGGTAACCTGAAAGACTCCTCTAGTCCAACTCCCTGATTTTATAGTGGTGGTAACCTCTCCATGGTGACAAGGCATCAGAATAGGACTATATTGGAATCCTTGGCCATCTAACCTTTTATATTTTTATACTTACTAAGATTTGCTATTTTCAATCTACCAATAGAAATTATATGCATGTATACAAATAATATAAGATGGAATGCAACCTATTAGAATACAGATTGCTGTTCTACAAATCTACATACAAATTGATTGAATCATGGCTCCAGAAACATAATCATCAATAATGGCATATTAAATTATGCTTTACAATAAAAAAACCCTTCTACCTCTATTATTTTATCTGGTACTTCACAAATGAAGTAGGTATGGCAATACTTGTGCAGTACCTTAGTGCAAGTATCACTATTCCTATTTTACAGACTGAAAAATTGAGGCTAGCATAAATGACTTGTCTAAGATAAAAAAAAAACAGAAGCACAAGAGTTATAAACCAATTTCAGTGTAATTATAATGTGAGAAACTAAAACTAAACAAAATTAACCTCCACCAAAATGCTATTTAAAAAAAATTAAACTGTTTGAATCACTCTTATTACAAAGAATTTACTTTTAGGCGGTCTAGATTTTAAAAGACTAGCAAAAATTTAGGAATATTATGAATAGTACCAGGCCATATTTTCTTGTGATCCTTAAAATGTAACATCAAGACTTCTCTCTGATTTTAGAATGTTTTGAATTTAGAAGCAGTAAGGAAAAAAAGTTAAAATGTAGTTGCTCAAAAACTTGTCTCTACTTGGCTAATTAAATGTTATGTATTATCATATTGATCATTATTATTATCATATGATCATATCATTTGAGTCAAAACAAATGGGTTTTCCTGCTACTTAATTCTAAAACATTAAAATTCATGTTTTTCAAATAATTCTGTCTCATCCCTTCTATAAATTCAATTTCTAATTTACCTGTTGCTCTCCTACAATTTATTTCTCTACAAAACATTTTTTGCTTGAGCTAAATTAACTTTTCTGCCATTTTCATTAAAGTTTCCTTGCACCTTGGTATCACTGCCTCCTAGTTTAAAATCTTTTTCTCATCTCAGCGTAACTCAACTGTCACAACCATTTGTCAACTTCCTCTTTTCTTCAGATTGCTGACCCCTTATTGGAGGTTCTGCTTAGCAGAGACTTTCTTCTCATCACTTTTGTCCACTGAAGATCTGTAACAGGCTTATTCTACATAAATCAAATGGTAACCTGGGAGAGAATTATCCAAAATTTTATCTGATTACATCACATCAGCTTCTGCTCTCATTCTAGAAAATTCATTCTATAAATGGTCAATCTTTCCTCCTAGCATGTGTGGGATGAACTATATATGGGAGCACATATGCCCATGTTCACAAGAGAAACAAAATTCTATTTTTATGAAAGATCTATTCAGAAAAAGATGAATGCAAAGAATTTCCTCCTTTGAAATGTTTCTAGTGAAATTGTCAAAGGTACCCAGGAGTGCAAATATTTTCTACCCCAACAAGAACAATGTAACTTAAATTACATTAAGTCAGGAAGCCTATCTTTTCACTTTTCTATCTATGTTTCCAAGTAAAGTCATCATATTGTCTTCCAAAGTTGCAACCTTCCTAGAAAGTAGAAAGTAATGTATTTTCTTTTACCATTAAGGACAAAATTGCTTTAGTACAGAGTTTCA